CATCTGGGACAAATGACACCTCCTCCCTGGGCCTCCCGCAGAGCCACAGTGTCCCAGCTGCACCAGCCCATAGCATCTTATTATCTTCAGTTCATTCATTGCTTTCTGAAATGATCTCATTTGTCAGTCGGGATTAAGAGCACCAGCTCTGAACACACACAGCTCAGGTTAAAGCGCTGGTCTGCCACCCGCCTGCAGAAAACCTGTCACAAATAGTTTAAACTTCTGCACCTCGGTTTCCTCACTTGTAAGGTAATACAGACCCAGGCACACAGCACTGCCCTGCCCAGCACTGCCTTCTATGAAGGAGGGAGGGCCTGTCGGGTCAGGCTTACAGTACACATTTTTCCCTCCCTCCCTTCCTTCCCCTCCTATTTCTTGCTTTCTTCTTTCCTCTTTTTGTTCCTCTCTCCTCCCCACCCTCTCTCCTTTCTTTTTTTTTTTTGAGACAGAGTCTTGCTCTGTCACCCAGGCAAGAGTTCAGTGGTGTGATCTCAGCTTACAGCTGCCTCCTGGGTTCAAGCGATTCTCCTGCCTCAGCCTCCAGGGGACCTGGGATTAGAGGTACGCACCGCCATGCCTGACGAGTCTGCATTTTTAGCAAAGATGGGGTTTCACCATATTGGCCAGGCTGGTCTCAAACTCCTGACCCCAAGTGATCCATCGGCCATGGCCTCCCAAAGTGTTAGGATTACAGGCATGAGCCAACACACCGGCCTCTGTATACCCACCCCGGCCTCCATCCCCTCCCCTCCCCTCTCCTCCCCTTCTTTCCTTTTCCCTTCCCTCCCCCTTTCCCCTTCCCTTCCCCACCTCCTTTTTTTTTTTTTTTTTTTTGAGACAGGGTCTCACTTTGTTACCCAGGCTTGAGTGCAGTGATTCGATCCTAGTTCACTGTGGCCTTAACCTCCCAGGGATGAAGCGATCCTCCCACCTCAGCCTCCCAAGTAGCCAGGACGACAGGTGCACACACAATGCCTGGCTAATTTTTCAGTTTTTTTTTTTTGTAGAGACAGAGGTCTCACTGTGTTATCCAGGCTGGTCTTGAACTTTTTAGCTCAAGCAATCCTCCTGCCTTGGACTCCCAAAGTGTTGGGATGACAGGCATGGGCCACAGCGCCTGGCCCAGTCCACATTTCTGAGTAAATGTGGGAGGCCGGCTGGGCACAGTGGCTCACACCTATAATCCCAGCACTTTGGGAGGTCAGGAGTTCCAGACCAGCCTGGCCAAGATGGTGAAACCCTGTCTCTACTAAAAAAATACAAAAACTAGCCGGGTGTGGTGGCAGGCGCCTGTAATCCCAGCTACTTGGGAGGCTGAGGCATTAGAATCACTTGAACCTGGGAGGTGGAGGTTCTAGTGAGCTGAGACTGTGCCATTGCACTCCAGCCTGGGTGACAGAGTGAGACTCTGTCTTAAAAAAAAAAGAGGGGCCACCAGAGATCATGGGGCCACCCTGAGAGCAGACCAGGGTGGCCCACATACTTAGGTGAATTGCCTAGAGGCTGCAGTCCCAGACCTCAGGGGGGTCCCCTGGGAACCCTAGCACTGTCATCCAATGACACAAAACCAGTCTTCCTGGCCTCTCCCATCCTGTGCAACCCAAAAGGGAGACTCAGGTTTCAGACCCAACAACCCTGGGTTCAGATCCAGCCTTGGAAACTTGCTTCCTGTGCATAGGCAAGCCCCATCACCATGCGTTTTTTTTTTTTTTAACAAGGCCTGAAAATGGATTTTTTTTTTTTTTTAATTTTTGAGACAGAGTCTCACTCTGTTGCCAGGCTGGAGTGCAGTGGTGCGATCTCTGCTCACTGCAACCTCTACCTCCTGGGTTCAAGCGATTCTTCTGACTCAGCCTCCCCAGTAGCTGGGATTACAGGTGGGTGTCACCACGCCCAGCTAATTTTTGTGTTTTTAGTAGAGACCGGTTTTACCATGTTGGCTGACTGGTCTCGAACTTCTGACCTTGTGATCCACTGGCCTCAGCCTCCCAAAGTACTGGGATTACAAGTGTGAGCCACCGTGCCCAGGCAATCTGTTTCTTTTAACTGTAAAGTGGGAAGAACTCTGAGAACGTCTTAGTCCATAACTATCAGGGAAGGAGCACTGAATGCCAGTCAGAGGGGGTTTCCATGAAAAGCTGGGCCCCAGCAACTTGGGAGGCTGAGGCAGGAGGATTTGAGCTGATGAATTCGAGGCTACAGTGAGCTGTGATGGCGCCACTGCACCCTAGCCTGGGCAGTAGACTGAGACCCTGTCACACACACACAAAAGGCTCATCCATTCCAAGCTGCTCCCAGCTACCTGCCCCTCTGGGTGGGCATCACTAGCCTGAGGATGCATTTTATCCCCTCCTGGGGAAGATACACAAGTCTAGTCCTCAGGGGAAGCCACCCAGTGAGCAGTAGGGCCCAAGTAAGGAGCCTACTACCTCCATAGCCCCTGGGCTCCCTTCCCCCGAAACACCAGCAGAGGGCCGGCCGTGGTGAGAATTCGTGACCTAAACACCACCTGACAATAATGACTAAGTGGCTAGATCCTCAGGCTGCCCCATCACCGCCCTCTGGGGCTCGAGCAGGTGCAGGTGTGGGCGCCTACCCTGCTTGGCCTCTTTCCACCTGGGTGGCTTCGGACCCAGGGCAGACTTCTCAGGAGGGGCTGTTTCTCATTGGAGAAGCCAGGATGACCCTCCAGGGGGCTACTGATATACACGTACTGCGCCTGGTCCTGAGCAAGACCACCCTAACCCTAGGGAGGGTTTGGGGGCTTCACTGCTGAAGTTCAGACTCCAGGGTGATCCTTATCCTGTGTGCCTCGGTTTCCCCATCTGTAAAATGGATGGTCCTGGGAACTGGAACCTTATCCCATCTCAGCAGGGCTGGGCCGAGCCGTCAGCAAGCCTCTGGCCTGTCTCCATCATTCAAGAAAGAGCCGGTGGCCAAAGGGGCAGTTCTCAGAGGGAGAACAAATGGGGGGCGGGGGTGGGGCTGGAGGCCACGGGCCTCGGGCTGTCCTGGGCATCCAGCCAGCGCCGGCAGTGAGTCAGGGACCAGGCATGCAGAGTGGGGCCTCTCCCGGCCCGGCGATCAGGCACCTCCCAGAACCCGCCTGCTGGGTCCCCACCAGGCCGAGTTCCTCTCCAACTCGCTGGACCCATAGAAGGGACCCTGGGCCTGCCTGGGGGGGACGGGGATGTGGGTGGTGGGCAGGGCCCCTTTGAGCCCCGTCACAGTCTCCGTGATGTGACCATCTCTTCCTTGGGGAAACTGAGGTCCAGACTGCTGGGATGGAGAGGCTAGGGAGTGACAGAGCAGGGCAATGGCTCCTTGGCCCCCTCTGGGAACAAAGCCAGGCCATTCCTGCGGGAGGGAGCCCCAACCCCAGGGTAGAGGGGGTGTGGGCACTTGGCCAGGGATACAGATAAGCCCCAGCTCCCAGAATCCTCACTACAGTGGCCCCCTGCCCCCACGCCTGCTTTCTCTCCAGGGCACTTGGAGCTGCAGTTTGCAGGACCAGAGGAAAATGTTCCCATCCCCCCAACCCCAGGACTCCCAGCTGTGAGCTGGGCCCATCTGGTGAACCTGCTGGTGGTAGCATCTCCTGCCCTGAATGTGGGAAGGAATGACTGACGTGGTGACAGCAGCGCTCAGCCAACCCTGACACCTGACTTGCAGACTGGTCCCTGCCTGGGGCTTCAAGGCACGCAAGAGGTTTTCTCTTTGAGATGGAGTCTCACTCTATGGCCCAGAATGGAGTGCAGTGGCGCTACCTTGGCTTACTGCATCCTCTGCCTCCTGGGTCCTGGTTCAAGCGATTCTCCTGCCTCAGCCTCCCGAGTGGTTGGGATTAGAGGCATGCACAGGGATTACAGGTGTGAAACCACACCCAGCTAATTTTTATATTTTTAGTAGAGACGGCTTTCACCATGTTGGCCAGGTTGGTCTCAATTTCATGACCTTGTGATCTGAGCGCCTCGGCCTCCAAAGTGCTGGGATTACAGGCGTGAGCCACACACCGGGCCCTGATCCCTCTTTTCTAGGTTGGTCTCCCTAGAGGCCACCAGTTCAGCATTCTCACCCAAGACCTCCCAGGGTCACCTCAATGAACCGTTTCAGTGTCCGCCTCATGTACGCAGACGTTCCCTCGGCCTAAGGACACCCGTCTCTGATTTAAAAACTGCAGCCAGGTGGGGGTGTGCCCAGCACTTTGGGAGGCCAAGGTGGGCGGATCACGATGTCAAGAGATTGAGACCATCCTGGCCAACATGATGAAACCGTCTCTACTAAAAATAACAAAAATTAGCTGGGCATGGTGGCGTGCACCTGTAATCCCAGCTACTTGGGAGGCTGAAGCAGGAGACTCGCTTGAACCCAGGAGGCGGAGGTTGCAGTGAGCTGAGATTGTGCCACTGCCCTCCAGCCTGGCTAGAGAGCAAGACTCAGTCACACACACGCACACACACACACACACACACAAAAAAGTTTGGGCGTGGTGGCTAACGCATGTAATCCCAGCACTTTGGGAGGCTGAGGCGGGCGGATCACGAGGTCAAGACCGTCCTGGCCAACAAGATGAAACCCCATTTCCACTAAAGCTAGCTGGGCATGGTGACACGCACCTGTAGTCCCAGCTACTCGGGAAGCTTAGGCAGAATTGCTTGAACCTGGGAGGTGGAGGTTGCAGTAAGCCGAGATTGCGCCACTGTACTCCAGCCTGGAGCCTGGTGATGGAGTGGGACTGTCTCAAAAAAAACAAAAACAAAAAACCTGCACTGAAATTTAGTTGTGGAAAGGGACACGAGGAAACCCAAGCCCAAGTTCACGGAACTAACCCATCCAAGGGCAAAGCTGTATCTGGGGGCAACTGTGTCCGCGGGACTCCACCTCCCTCTCTCCTCTCTCAGGCAGGCAGGTGGAGTGCAAGCCTCCTCTCCTTAGCAGCAGCCCAAACACCAAGAGGGGGACGGTGAACATATCAATTGGCCGGCTCTAGACTGGAGTATGTGTTCAGTTAAAGGTTTATTTTGTTGTCATAGAAAACCCCCAAACCAGGAGCTTACACAAGGTACAAGTTGAAGCTAGTTCTTCCCCTTCTCTCCCTATTTTTTTTTTTGAGACATTGTCTCACTCTGTCTCCAGGCAGGAGTGCAATGGCGTGATCTCAGCTTACTGCAATCTCTGCCTCCCTGGCTCAAGCGATTCTCCTGCCTCAGCCTCCCAAGTAGCTTGGATTATAGGCATGTGCCACCACACCCAGCTAATTTTTGTATTTCAGTAGAGATGGGCTCTCACCATGTTGGCCGGCATGGGCTCAATCTCCTGACTTCATGATGTGCCCATCTCAGCCTCCAGAAGTGCTGGGATTCAGGTGTGAGACACTGTGCCTGGCCTCTCCCATTTAAATAAGTCTGTGCTGATTATCTGGCTCTGCTGTCACCAGGGAACCAGACTCCCGTCATCCCTAAAGGACTGCACTCCTCTGCACACGTGGCAGTATGGCTGCCAGGGCTCTAGCCATCACGCTCAAATTCCAGGAAATAGGAAGGGGGAAAGCAAGGGTATACTTGTTTTTTAAGAATCCATCTAGGCTAGGCGTGGTGACTCATGCCTGTAATGCCAGCACTTTGGGAGGTTGAGACGGGTGGATTACCTGAGGTCAGGGGTTCGAGACCAACTGGGCCACAATGGTGAAACCCCCTCTCATTAAATAAAAAAATCCTTCTACAAGTGTCATTTAACAGTTCCATGTACATTTCACTGGCTGGACATTTACTACAAGGGTGTTGGGATGTGTTGTTTTAACTGGGCAGCTAAAAGGACTCCCTTTATGAAGGAGGGAGGGGAGAACGAGTGATAAAAGACACATCTCGTGGTCTCTGACAGAGTCCACCCTGGAACCAGAGATGGGCTCCTATGTAAGCCACGGACCCCACGAGTCCCCACAGGAAAGCCTGAGCGCAGACTGGTGGTATCCACCATGCCAACAGGTCACAGGGAAAAATGGCAATGGTTGAGCTCCTGTCCCTTCAATTATGTCCTACCCGTCACAGCCCTGTCCCTTGCTTAACTCCCAGCTCCTCTCGGGTACCCTGCTTCCTCCGTCTCTAACACCTGTGGGAGTTGAAACGGATCTGATGGTGGCAGATGCCCGCTGGGTGCAAGACACAGCCAAGAGGCTCCTGGCTACCACTTGGTGTCCACCAGGCTCCAGAGGTAATCGCTGATGAATTTCTTGGAGAGCTGGGTGCTGTCCAGGTGGATGGGCTGGGCCACACTTGGGCCATGATGGACTGAGGCACAGATGTAAGGAAAGCTCAGGACACAACCCTCACACAACCCCACGGGGAAAAGGACACTGCCTTTACTTTTTATTTTTGAGACAGTTTCCTTCTTGTTGCCCAGGCTGGAGTGCAACGGCGCCATCTTGGCTCACTGCAACTTTGGCCTCCCAGGTTGAAGTGATTCTCCTGCCTCAGCCTCCCAGAGTAGATAGGATTACTGGCATGCGCCTCCACACCCGGCTAATTTTATATTTTTAGTAGAGATGGGGGTCTTTCCATGTTGGTCAGGCTGGTCTTGAACTCTCAACCTCAGGTGATCCGCCTGCTTCAGCCTCCGAATGTGCTGGGATTACTGGAGTGAGCCACCTCGCCCAGGTTTGTTTGTTTGTTTGTTTTTTAGACAAAGTCATTCTGTTGCCCAGGCTGGAGTGCAGTGGTACAATCTCAGCTCATTGCAACCTCCACCTCCTGGGGTTAAGCGATTCTCATGCCTCAGCATCCCGAGTAGCTGGGACTATAGGCACATGCCACCATGCCTGGCTAATTTTGCATTTTTAGTAGAGACCGGGTTTCACCATGTTGGCCAGGCTAGTCTTAAACTCCTGACCCTCAGGTGATCCATCTGCCTTGGCCTCCCAAAGTGCTGGGATTGCAAGCGTGAGCCACAGCACCTGGTCTGCCTTTACTATATGTTTATCGTAGATACGAGGGTTTCAGTACTACCTAAGCTGGTCTCAAAATCCTGGCCTCAAATGATCCTCCCGCCTCAGCCTCCCAGGTAGCTGGGACTACAGGTGCACACCACCACGCCCGGCGAATTTTTTTTTTTTTTGAGACAAAGTCTCACTCTGTTGCCCAGACTGGAGTGCAGTGGCAAGATTTCAGCTCACTGCAGCCTCTGCCTCTTGGGTTCAAGTGATTCTTCTGCCTCAGCCTCCTGAGTAGCTGGAATTACAGGTGTGCACCACCACGCCTGGCTAATTTTTGTATTTTCAGTAGAGACAGGGTTTCACCATGTTGGTCAGGCTGGTCTTGAACTCCTGACCTTGTGATCTGCTCACCTTGGCCTCCCAAAGTGCTGGGATTGCAGGTGTGACCACCACACCCAGCCTGACGCCTGGCTAATTTTTACAGGGTCTTGCTATGCACCATTTTACCTCCCTACCTACAGTGCATAAGGGTTACAATGTCTCCCAAAAAGGATACTGCCTTTGATGATCCCTGGCTCACACTCGTAATCCCACTCGATTTTACTAATTTGGTGGTAAAGTTGAGCCACGTACCTATACAAGAGGCCAAAAAAAAAAGTAAGTTACCCAGCACCGACTTCAACCAAGAGGCGGACGGAACGAGGGAACAAGGAGGCACAGGCGGGCACACGCTTTGGCGGAACCTACACGGCTGAGGGGATTGTGACTGTCGTATCCTCGTCGACCTCCTTCTTCTGTCGTTCCAGATCCGCCTCAATCTCCTTGAGCTCCTCCAGCTCTCTGGTGAGCTGCTTAGGGCAGGTAGTTAAGGACCCCAGCTTTTGAGAGGGGGCTGCCCCTGCGTTCACTGCAGCCAGGAGGCCGGGGCCTCAGCTCTATCTATGCACTTTCTTCTCTGAGTCAGAGTCTTGCTCTGTCACCCAGGCTGGAGTGCAGTGGTGGGATCTTGGCTCACTGCAACCTCCGCCTCCCGGGTTCAAGCAATTCTCCAGTCTTCGCCTCCCGAGTAGCTGGGATTACAGGCACCTACCATCATGCCTGGCTAATTTTTGTATTGTTTGTAGAGGGGGGTTTCACCATGTTGGCCAGGCTGGTCTCGAACTCCTGACCTCAGGTGATCCACCCACCTCGACCTCCCAAACTGCTGGGATTACAGGTGTGAGCCACCTCGCCCAGTGTTTCTTTCCTTGTTTTTGAGACCATGTCTGGCTCTGTCGCCAGGCTGGAGTACAGCCTTGATCTCCCAGGCCCAAGCAACCCTCCCACCTCGGCCTCTCAAATGGCTGAGGCCACAGGCACGCACCACCACACCCTGCCACTTTTTTGCTTTTGTAGACATAGGGTGTCTGTTTCCCAGAATGGTCAACTCCAAGGCTTCCCAAATGCTGGAACTACAGGTGTGAGCAACTGAACCTGGCCCAATACATGTTTTTTGTTTGTTTTTTTGAGACAAAGTCTCGCTCTGTTGCCCAGGCTGGAGTGCAGTGGCACCATCTTGGCTCGCTGCAACCTCTGCCTCCGGGTTCAAGTGACTCTCCTGCCTCAGCCTCCTGAGTTGCTGGGACTACAGGCGCCCACCACCATGCCTGGCTAATTTTTTGCATTTTTAGTAGAGACAGGGTTTCACTGTGTTAGCCAAGATAGTCTCTATCTCCTGACCTCATGATCTGCCCACCTTGGCCTCCCAAAGTACTGGGATGACAGGCATGAGCCACTGTGCCTCACCCAAAGCATGTTTTCCACCAAGGCTGACTCATTTGCAGAAAAGGATATAGGAGGCTGGCCTTCAGCTGGGCGTCCTCCTCCCTGGCCTCCTGAAGCCCAGCTTCCAGCTGCTGCAGATCCACACCACCCTGGTGCACCTGCTCCTCCGCGTTGAGAAGGCTCTCGGCCACTTCCTTCTCCATCGTCAGGATCTCTGCAGGGTGGAGAGAAGTAGGCTCCCTAGGGTCTGTCCTTCCCCAAGGAGGGCAGAGAGAAGGTGGGTTGCCACCTCCACTGGCAAGAAACATGCCCCTTCCTGCCTGCAGCCCTGAGTCCAGAGAGTTCCACTGGCAACTTGTACAACTACTATTTCACCAAAACACATTAAAATACACCCAAAATAAAACCTGATCCTTCTTCACACACCCAAAATGGTTTATAACAGTATAGTTGGCTGGGTGTGGTGGTTCATGCCTGCAATCCAGCACTTTGAGAGGCCAAGGCAGGAGGATCCCTTGAGCCCAGGAGTCTGAGACCACCCTGGGCAATGTGGCAAAACCCCATCTCTACTAAAAATACAAGATTAGCCGGGCGTTGTGGTGTGCGCCTGTAGTCCTAGCTACTTGGGAGGCTGAGGTGGGAGGATCATCTGAACCAGGGAGGTTGAGGCTACAGTGAGACATAATCATCCTAACTGTGTCACTACACGCCAGCCTGGGCGACAGCATGAGACTCTATCCCAAAAACCCAAACCAAACCACTGACAACAAAAAAGAAGGCTACTGGTTCCTTCCTAGAAACCTGCCAACTCAGAGAAGGCAGATTAAATGCTTCCCAAAGGGCCATGTTTAAGTTTTTAGAAACTTACATTATTTTTTTAAAAGCCAGTCAAATTTAGCAGTGGGAGGTTTATGTTATTTTTAATCACAGCAGGACATGTACATGGCTCAGAAAACAAACACAGACGCACACACCCTTCTCCAAGCCTCTCCACCCTCCAGAGCAGCCACTTTCAAGCTGTAGATGTTTTCTCTGGCAATGGCCTCCACATTTTTAAACAACTTGCTTATGCTGCTATTTCTTGAAGGGTCTGGTTCGGACGGTGCCTGCTGATTTCCTGTTGGGACAGCTGAGGCTCCAGCCGGCTCACACGGCCTTCCCACCCGCTATCTGTCCGCCCTCCCAAAGACGACCAAGTCTTTCTGGAGTCTTCCCTGAGTAGTAATCTCTACCCCACAGCTGTTCATTATAAGGTGCTCCTACTTGACATATTCTCACACAACTCTCTGAGGGGGTACCTTTTATTTTATTTTTATTATTATTGAGATATAGTCTCCCTCTGTTGCCCAGGCTGGAATGCAGTGGCACAATCTCAGCTCACTACAACCTCTGCCTCCCAGGTTCAAGCGATACTCAAGTCTCCACCTTCAGAGTAGGTGAAATTACAGGCATGTGCCACCAAGCCCAGCTGATTCTTGTATTTTTAGTGCTGCTGGGGTTTTACCAAGTTGGCCAGGCTGGCCTCGAACTCCTGACCTCAGGTGATTTACCTGCCTTGGCCTCCCAAAGTGCTGGGATTACAGGTATCAGCCACTGCACCTGGCCTATTTTTTTTTAAAACAGTCTTGCTTTGTCACCCAGTCTGGAGTGCAGTGGCATGATCTTAGCTCATTGCAGCCTCCATCTCCCAGGTTCAAGCAATTCTCCTGTCTCAGCCTCCGAAGTAGCTGGAATTACAGGCACGTGCCACATTGGCCAGCTAATTTTATATTTTTAGTAGAGAACATATTTGACCATGTTGGCCAGGCTGGTCTTGAACTCCTGGCCTCAAGTGATCCCCCACCTTGGCCTCCCAAAGTACTGGGATAACAGGCGTGAGCCACCCCGCCCGGCCTGTGGGGGTATGTACTTTAACTCCTCTGCCCCACATCTGGGACATGAAGAAAACGGCCCAGAGAAGTTCAGTGTCGCCCACAGGTACGCAGCTCCAGACCTGGGACGTGAACTGCATCTGTTTGACTGAAAGCCCAGGATCCTGGACCAGGACTCTCAGTTTCTCTGGCCCCAGGGTCGTCCATTCTGCTAAAGGCCAGGCTGGCTGAGTCACACTGTTCTCCTACGCCATCAGAGGACGGGGAGTTTGTTGGGAACCAGCCCAACCCTGTAGGTGGGTGCCCCGTGTCCTGGTGGTGGCAAGGGAGTGAGAAAAGAAGACAGAGACAGAAGTTCACAGCATGGGTCCAGGGGTCCCAGGCACTCTCACGAGGGTTTGGGTGCACTATCTTGTTAATCTTGCAGGCTGTGGGAAGGGGGTTGAGAAGGAAGATTGGGGGATGGCCGGGAGAAGCATGTGTCTGCAGCATTCAATAGCAAATGTGGTTCTTCTAAGAAATGCTAACTAAGGACACTGAGTTTCTACCACCCATTGCCTATCCAGGTGCGGTGGCAAAAGAGACATAGCCGATAAGGCACCATAAGGTCTGAGCACACGCAACGCATCCAGGTGCTTTTATCTCCCGAGCATGGTGGACACAGAGCAATCAGAATTGCTCTGCATTCTGAGAACATAGGCAGAGCCTGTGGAGTTCCGGTTATCTCGGCCCTGCAAGGCCTTCCGGCCTCAAAAGCTCCCATCTGCAAAGACCCTCCGAGTCTGGAGAGCACAGATTGCGTTCCTTCCCAGAGTTCTTGCACAAACCCTCTTTACGAGACCCTCACGCAGACTCTATGTTGGGAAGAGACGTGGGACCAAAGCAGTTTTTCCTGCTCTGCAGCCACACCGCAGCTTCCAATGTTATAGCGCTCCCAGACGGTCTTTCCGATAGGACCCCTGTTACGCCTTGATCTCTGCTTTTATTTTACTGCACCATAGTTTGGAGTTTTCTTAATTCAATATTTGATCCGTGATACAAATCTCAGTGTAAAAAAGCAAAGCAAGCTTGTAATCATTTAACTATAGGTAACACAGTTCTGCCCCTGGCCATCTGTTCCAATGGAGGGGTGGAAGGAGGAGGGAAGAGGCTGCCCAGGACATCACACTCAGGACAACATTCACTCCTCCCGGGCGCTCCCCAGACCTGGCAGTCATGCGGCAGCTGAGCTCATCTTCTAACACTCCCTTCTAATGGCCAAGTTCATTCTCACCTCCTGACCTCTGCATTTGCAATCCACACTGCCAGGAACACAGGCTAGAACATGGATGAATGGAGAGGACCTTAGGCTCAGTGAAATAAGCCAGACACAAAAGGGTATTGTATGATTCCACTATGAAGGGTAGATATTAGGGAGTCAAATTTGAGACAGAGTAAGTAGCAGGTGGGTGCCACGGTCTGAGAAGGGGATGGGGAGTGAGTGTTTCATGGGGACAGAGCTTCGGTTTGTAAAGATGAGAAAGTTCTGGAGACGGATGGTGATGATGGCTGAACAACAGTGAGAAGGTGCTTAACGCCACTGAACTGCGCACTTAAAAATAGTGAAGATGGGCTGGGCACGGTGGCTCACGCCTGTAGTCCCAGCACTTTGGCAGGCTGAGGTGAGGAGATAGACACCATCTTGGCCAACATGGTGAAACCCCATCTCTACTAAAAATACACACGCACACACACAAAATAGCTGGCTGTGGTGCGCGTGCCTGTAGTCCCAGCTACTTGGGAGGCTGAGGCAGGAGAATTACTTGAACTGGGAGGCGGAAGGTGCAGTGAGCCGAGATTGTGCCACTGCACTCCAGCCTGGCAACCGAGGGAAATTCTGTCTCAAAAAATAAAACAAAACAAAAAAACAACAACAAAAAAACCCCACACACGCACAAAGATATTTGTTAGCCCAGATTTTTTTTTTCCTCTTTAAAGTAAGCCTTTTTTAAAAATTAATTCTCCTTTAATATAAAGTAAGTCTTAACATTCAGTGACATCTTGGATGCATTAAAACGGTCCCCCCTTTTTTTTCTGAGATGGGATTTCGCTCTTGTCGCCCAGTCTGTACTGCAATGGTATGATTTCAGCTCACTAAGACCTCCACCATCCGGTTCAGGTAATTCTCCTGCCTCAGCCTCCCAAGTAGCTGGGATGGCAGGTGCCCGCCACCACGTCCTGCTAATTTTTGTATTTTTAGTAGACTCGGGGTTTCACCATATTGGCCAGGCTGGTCTTGAACTCCTGACCTCAGGTGATCCACCCACCTCGGCCTCCCAAAATGCTGGGATTACAGGCGTGAGCCACGAAACCTGGCCCCAGGTTTCTTTTTAAGAGACATTATCTTGCTCTGTCGCTCAGGCTGGTGGTGGAGGGCAGCTCATTACAATCTCCAACTTCTGGGCTCAAATGATTCTCGCACCTCAACCTCCCAAGTAGCTGGGATTACAAGTGGGAACCACCATGCCGGGATAATACGTTTTTCTTTTCTTTGTTTTTTTTTTTAAGACAGGGTTTCACCATGTTGGTCAGGCTGGTCTTGAACTCCTGACCTCAGGTGATCCGCCCGCCTTGGCCTCCAAAGTGCTTGGATTACAGGCGTGAGCCACCACGCCCGGCCTATACGTTTTTATTTTCAGTAGAGATGAGCTATCAGCGAGTTGCCCAGGCTGGTCTTCAACTCCTGGTCCGAAACAATCCTCCTACTTTTCCTCCCAAAGTGCTGGAGTTACAGGTGTGAGGCCTCCTTCAGGCTTCTGCTCAATCATCATCTTCACAGAAGGCTTTCCCCAAAACTTCACCACTCCGCCTACACAACCTAGTTTTCCTCCTTGTGATCCACCTGCCTCGGCCTCCCAAAGTGCTGGGATTGCAGGTGTGAGCCACCGCGCGAGACCGACAAATGGATTTCTCTCGTGAATCCTGCTCCCTCTCCCAGGCACTAGCATGCATGTCAGTTTTGTTCCCTGCCGCCACCAGGGCCTGGCGGCAGCAGGTGCTCCATAAAACATCTGAATGTTAGTGTATTCTTCTCAGGAAGAAGGAGTGGGCTATTTTCACAATCATTTGACAGGGAAGGAAGCTGAGGAACAGAGAAGTTAAGAAACTCACCTCAAGTCTCACAGAGGACGTGGGGATGGGTGCTGGGATTCAAACCCGGAGCTTTGACTCCTAAGTCCCAGTTCAAACCCTGACACCTCCCAGCTCCTGCTCACGGAGCGCTCAGAAGGGACCAACCCCTCCGGGCTCCTATATTTACCACTAAACCCCTGGGGGGCGGGGGATGGTTGCTGTCATAAAGCCGATTTCTCGGAGGGGGAAACTAAGGCTCAGAGGGGGCCGTCCCAGGGGAATAGGGCAGGAGATGGGAGAGTCCAGGAGAGAATGAGTTTTGAGGTCGGCCTGGTCGCCCCCTCCCAGCACCCGGGCCCTGTCCCCCGCCGGCCCGCGCCCGCGCTCCGGCCCTCACCATGCAGCTGCTTCTCGGCACCGTCTTGCGTCTCCAGTAGCCGCTCCACCACCTGCTCGTGGTGCCCCAGCAGCCGCCGCTGCTGAGCCTCGGCGCGATTGGTGCCCAGCAGGCTGAGCAGCCCCTGGCTCACCTCCTCCATGTCGCGGAAGGCGGCCATGACTACCGCAGTCCCCAACCCGCGCAAATTTGACTGCCTGAGTGGCCCGCCCTCTTCCCAGAGAGTTTGCTTTCCATTGGCTTTTTTCTACGTCAGTCGTAAACAATGACCAATAGGCATAGGGAACGGAGTCTCAGAATGGGAGAAGCCGCCTAGGGTCTGGCCTGGTGCGCCTGCGCCCAATCATCCGTCAGTCATCCGAGATGACCAATCGGCGCAAGAAGGGGGAGGCTCCGTTATCCCGCCCGATGCGCCTGCGCGGGGTGGAAAGATGCTGTTTATTTCTCCTTAGGTCGAGCGCCTTCTCTGCAGAGGGCGGGGTTCTAAGGGCAAAACAGAGAGCAGCTTCTCCTGGAACTTACATCCTACAGTGTGTGCGTGGGATACACACAATAAGCATAGAGAATGAGTAGATTCTATGACAGGCTGCATAGCAGAATGGCGTCTGCAGCCAGATTTACTGGGTTTGAATCCCAGCGTTGCCACCTACTAGCTGTGTTATCCTAGGCAGACTTCACCCCTCTGTTCGGTACTTTCCTCCTTAGTAAGACAGGGTCATACTAGTGGCTATTTCAGGGTTGCCGTGAGGATTCTTCTTTATTACTTTTTTTGGGGTGTGGGGGCAGGGTATTGCTCTGTGGTCCAGGCTGAAGTACAGTGGCACAATCATAACTCATTGCAGCCTCGACCTCCTGGCCTCCAGCAATCCTCCCACCTTCGCCTTCCAAAGTGCTGGGATTACAGGCATAAGCCACCTAGCCCACCTGGCATGAGGATTAAATGAAGACAGTGCCTGGTATTCAGCAGGTGCTATATAGTTGTTTAATGAAACATAGAATCCTAGCATGCAGCTGGATGCAGTAGCTCACACCTGTAGTTTCAGGTCTTTGGGAGGCTAAGGCAGGAGGATTGCTTGAGCCCTGGAGTTTGAGACCAGCCTGTCTCAGAAAAAACAAACAAAAAAAGATCAGTGCAGTGGTGCCACCTTGGCTCACTACAACCTCTGCCTTCCGGGTTCAAGTGATTCTCCTATCTCAGCCTCCTGAGTAGCTGGGATTACAGGCACATGCCACAAAATAATACCTAATTTTTTGTATTTTTAGTAAAGACAGGGTTTCACTATGTTGGCCAGGGTGGTCTCGAATTCCTGACCTGGTTTTCCCGCCTTGGCCTCCCAAAGTGTTGGGATTACAGGCATGAGCCACCACGCCCCAGCCTGGTATCATTTTTATATGTGTTACCACCTGAAGAACATCTATCTGGTTGCTTTCCTATAACTTTTTTCTTTTTTTTTTTTTTTGAGACGGGGTCTTGCTCTGTCCCCCAGGCTGAAGTGCAGTGGCTCAGGTGATCCTTCCATTTCAACCTCCACAGTAGTCGGGACTATGGATGTGTGTCACCCTTTGGTGTCTGAGACCATGCCTTCTATAACCAGCTGTGTGAGCTTGTCACATGACTCACCTTTGCTGTGTGGCTAAAGGCAGCGAATAACACAGATGCACAGTGAAATCAAGAGGGGATAAGGCCTCAAGTTCCATTTCTGATGCTGCAGCTTACCTGTGACCTTGGCAGGTTCCTAACCTTCCTAAAGCACAGTGGCTAAAGATAGCCCTCTCTTATCAGCTGCCAGGAGGTGTCCCAGAGATAAGCCAGGCAAGATTGGGCAACTGGAGCCCGATAGGTGCAAAGGCTCCTGTGGAAAAATGCCACCCGCCCACCTCCCTTCCAAAAAAGCAAAGCAAGAACCACTTCACAGCCATGAGAATGGCCACTGTCCAAAACCAACCAAGCAGCTAACCAACCTGGAAAATAACAAGTGTTGACCAAGACGAAGAGAAACTGGAATCCTTGTATACCCTTGCTGAGAATGTAAAACGGTGCAGCTGCTGCGGGAAACAGTATGACAGTTCCTCAAAAAATTAAAAATAGTATTATTATATCAGCAATTCCACTCCTGGGTATATCCCCCAAAGAACTGAAAGCAGGGCCAGGCACGGTGGCTCACACCTGTAATCCCAGCACTTTGGGAGGCCGAGGTGGATGGATCACCTGAGGTCGGGAGTTTGAGACCAGCCTGACCAACATGGACAAACCCCATCTCTACTAAAAATACAAAATTAGCCAGGTGTGGTGGCGCATGCCTGTAATCCCAGCTACTCAGGAAGTGAGTAATATATAATCCTCCCAAAGTGCGGGGATTATAGGTGTGAGCCACCATGCCCAGGCCGCAATTTTTTTTTTTTTTTTTTTTTTGAGACAGGATCTCTCTCTGTCTGCCAGGCTGGAGTGCAGCTACTCAGGAGGCTGAGGCAGGAGAATCGCTTGAACCCAGGAGACGGAGGTTGCAGCGAGCCAAGATGGCGACATTGCACTACAGCCTGGGTAAGAAGAGCGAAACTCTATCTCAGAAAAAAAAAAGAATTGAAAACAGGTTGTAGAACAGATATTTGCCCACACATATTCATAGCAGCCGTTATTCACAATAGATAGAGTGACAACAGCACAAGTGTTCTTAGATAGAAAAATTAATAAAACGTGGTCCATCATACAACCCAATTTTTTTTTTTTTTGAGATGAAGTCTTGCTCTGTCCCCTAGGCTGACTGCAGTGGTGCGACTTCGGCTCACTGTAACCTCCGTCTCCCGGGTTCAAGTGATTTTTCCCGCCTCAGTGTTCTGAGTAGCTGGGATTACAGGCGCCCACCACCATGCCCATCTAATATTTACATTTTCAGTAGAGACGGGGTTTCACCATGTTGGCCAGGCTGGTCTCGAACGCCTGACCTCAGATGGTCCACCCACCTAGGCCTCCCAAAGTGCGGGGATTATAGGTGTGAGCCACCATGCCCAGGCTGCAATTTTTTTTTTTTTTTTTTTTTGAGACAGGATCTCTCTCTGTCTGCCGGGCTGGAGTGCAGCAATGATATGTGTGATCATGGCTCACTACAGCCTCGACCTCCTGGGCTCAAGCAATCTTCCCATTTTAGTCTCCCAAATAGCTGGGACTACAGGCACATGCCACTACACCCAGGCAATTTTTTTGTTTTTGTTTTTGTGAGACGAAGTCTCGCTGTCTCCAGGCTGGAGTGCAGTGGCACAATCTCAGCTCACTGCAACCTCTGCCTCCCAGTTCAAGCAATTCTTCCACCTCAGCCTCTTGAGTAGCTGGGATTATAGGGGCCCACCACCATGCCTGGCTAATTTTTTTTTGTATTTTTTTTTTTTTTGAGATGCAGTTTCGCTGTTGTTACCCAGGCTGGAGTGCAATGGCACGATCTCGGCTCACCGCAACCTCCGCCTCCTGGGTTCAGGCAATTCTCCTGCCTCAGCCTCCCGAGTAGCTGGGATTACAGGCACGTGCCACCGTGCCCAGCTAATTTTTTGTATTTTTAGTAGAGACGGGGTTTCACCATGTTGGCCAGGATGGTCTTGATCTCTTGACCTCGTGATTTGCCCACCTCGGCCTCCCAAAGTGCTGGGATTACAGGTGTGAATTTTTTTTTTCTAGAGATGGAGGTCTCACTATATTACCTAGGCTGGTCTGAAACTCCTGGGCTCAAATGATTCTCTTGCCTCAGCCTTGCAAAATGCTGAGAAAGGAAGAAAATTCTGACTGGGTGCGGGGGCTCACACCTGTAATCTCAGCACTTTGGGAGGCCTAGGTGGGTGGATGACCTGAGATCAGGAGTTCCAGACCAGCCTGGCCAACATAGTGAAACACCATCTCTACTAAAAATGCAGAACTTAGCCAGTCGTGGTGCTGTGTGCCTATAATCCCTGCTACTTGGAAGGCTGAGGCAGAAGAATTACTTGAACTTGGGAGGCAGAGGTTACAGTGAGCTGAAGTGGCACCACTGCACTCCAGCCTGGACAACAATAGGAAAACTTAGTCTCAAAAAAAAAAAAAAAAAAAAAAAGAAAGGAAATTCTGACACATGCTACAAGGTGGATATGAAGACGTGTTTGTGAAATAAACCAGAAACAGGCAGGGCCGGGTGCGGTGGCTCACGCCTGTAATCCCAGCACTTTGGGAGGCCGAGGTGGGTGGATCACAAGGTCAGGAGATCAAGACCATCTTGGCCAACATGGTGAAACCCCGTCTCTACTAAAAATACAAAAATTAGCTGGCTGTGGTGGCACGTGCCTGTAATCCTAGCTAACAGGGAGGCTGAGGCAGGAGAAGCACGTGAACCCAGGAGGCAGAAGTTGCAGTGAGCTGAGATTGCACCACTGCACTCCAGCCTGGGGACAGAGACTCCGTCTCAAAAAGCCGGACACAAAAAAACAAACACTGTGTAACTCCACTTATATGAGGTCCCTGGAGTCATCAGATTAAGAAAGGCAGAAAGCAGAATGGTGGGTGCGAGGGGCTGGGGAGGAGGATTCGGAGTGACTGTTTCATGGGGACACTTTCAGTTTTGCAAACTGAGAAAGTTCTGGAGCTGGAGGGGGTAATGGTTGCACAACAGCACGAATGTACTTCATACTACTGACCTCTGCACTTTAAGATGGTTAAAATGGTACACTTCATGCCATGTATACTTTACCACAATCAAAATTTAAAATAAACTAAAAAAAAAAGCAAAGCAGAAACTATGTGAGGGGAGGGTGAGGGGAATGGGGTCTCAGGGGTGAGCTGAACAAAAGAAATACAGATCATGACAAATGGGCCTGGCAGTTGCATTGTGAGAAAGTTTCCTTCCTAAAATCCCTTCTTGGCTGGCAAATCCAGAGGAAATTGACAAGAGCGATGGATCTTCTGCCTAGAAATACACTCCTTAGCATAACATTTCTGGGGCTTCCAAAACCTTCTGTTATCTCCTGGCTGAACAGCTTAGGGGATAAACAGAGGAAATGAGAAGTCCGGAGATATGATCGCCCCTGGGAGATCTGAGGGGGAGGGCCTGGGCTGCTGGGACCAAGATATTCCTTTTCCTATACTGGTGCTGGTGACTCCAGAAGTGCTGTTTGCAAAAAAGCCACGAATGTTGCCGGGCACGGTGGTTCACGTCTGTAATCCCAGCACTTTGGGAGGCCGAGGCGGGCAGATCATGAGGTCAGGAGTTCAAGACCAGCATGGTCAACATAGTAAAACCCCGTCTCTACTAAAAATATAAAAAAATCAGCCGGGCGCAGTGGCTCAAGCCTGTAATCCCAGCACTTTGGGAGGCCGAGGCGGGGGGATCACCAGGTCAAGAGATCGAGACCATCCTGGTCAACATGGTGAAACCCCGTCTCTACTAAAAATACAAAAAAATTAGCTGGGCATGGTGGCGTGTGCCTGTAATCCCAGCTACTCGGGAGGCTGAGGCAGGAGAATTGCCTGAACCCAGGAGGCAGAGGTTGCGGTGAGCCGAGATCGCGCCATTGCACTCCAGCCTGGGTAACAAGAGCGAAACTCTGTCTCAAAAAAAATTAGCCGGGTGTGGTGGTGGCGAGCACCTGTAATCCCAGCTACTCAGGAAGCTGAGGCAGGAGAATCGCTTGAACGTGGGAGGTGGAGGTTACCGTGAGCCGAGATCACACCACTGCACTCCAGCCCCAGCGACAAAGCGAGACTCTGTCTCAAAAAAAAAAGTGTACTGGAGCTGTACACTTTTGTGCACCATTTCTACACAAAACATATGCATTTGATACCTCCAGAAAAAAAGTATTGTAAAGAAAAATTAAGACCAAACATACCAGAAAAAGATTTGGTAGGAAACACTCTAAACTGTCGACAATGGTATTTCTATCAAGTGGGATATGGCACCCTGCAAGCAACAAACACTGCAGTATTGTTTGAATTTAGATACTTGGAGTCCTAACCACTCTGGAGGCTGAGTTGGGAGGATTCCTTGAGCCCTGGAGGTCGAGGGTGCAGTGAGCTATGATTGCACCACTGCACTCTACCCTGGGTGTCAGAGTGAGACCCTGTCTCTTTCTTTCTTTCTTTTTTTTTTTTTTAAAGATAGGGTTTCACCCTGTTGGTCAGGCTGGTCTTGAACTCCCGACCTCAGGTGATCCACCCGCCTTGGCCTCCAAAGTGCTTGGATGACAAGAGTGAGCCACTGCACCTGGCTGAGACCCTGTCTCAAAAAAAAAAAAAAAAAAAGAGATCGAGGTGTCAACAGTGGGTGTTCAACAAAACTTAATGACGATGGCAATATTCAGGGTCTCTGCAAGTTAATACCGCAGGTACCAGCCATGTAAAGCTACTGAGAATGAATGTATGTATGTATTTATTTATTTTTATTTTTTGAGACAGAGTTTCACTCTTGTTACCCAGGCTGGAGTGCAATGGCGCGATCTCGGCTCACCGCAACCTCCACCTCCTGGGTTCAGGCAATTCTCCTGCCTCAGCCTCCTGAGTAGCTGGGATTACAGGCACACGCCACCATGCCCAGCTAATTTTTTGTATCTTTAGTAGAGACGGGGTTTCACCATTTCGACCAGGATGGTCTTGATCTCTTGACCTCGTGATCCACCCGCCTCAGCCTCCCAAGGTGCTGGGATTACAGGCATGAGCCACCACGCCCGGCCTAGAATGAATGTATGTATTCATTTTTGAGTCAGAGCCTCACTCTGTCACCCAGGCTGGGGTGCAGGGCTGCAATCTCAGCTTGTTGCAACCTCTGTCTCCCAAGGTCAAGCGATTCTCCTGCCTCAGCCTCCAGAAGCTGGGATTACATGCATGTACCACCATGCCCAGTTAATTTTTTTGTATTTTAAGTAGAGATGGGGTTTCCATGGTTGGCCAGGCTGGTCTCGAACACAAATGATCCACCTGCCTCAGCCTTTCAAAGTGTTGGGAGTATAGGCGTTAGCCACTGCGCCTGGCATAATTCATTTACTTAAAAAAAGTTTTTTTTATAGACAAGGTCTCACTCTGTCACCGAGGCTGGAGTGTAGTGGGGCAATATTCACTCATTGCAGCCTCGAATTCCTGGCTGTGAGTGATCTGCCACCCACCTCAGCCTTTTGAGTAGCTGGGCCTACGGAAGCAAGCCAGCAAGCCTGCTGATCATAATTACCTTTATTTATTTAGAGATGGAGCCTAGCCTTGTTGCTCAGACTGGAGTGCGGTGGCACGAATCTCAGCTAAATGAAACCTCTGTCTCTCAGATTCAAGTGATTCTCTTGCCTCGGCCTCCCAAGTAGCTGGGACTTACAGGTGCCCACCACCATACCCAGACAGTTTTTTTTATTTTTAGTAGAGACAGGGTTTCATGATGTTGGTCAGGCTGGTCTCGAACTTCTTACTTCAGGTGATCCACCCACCTCGGCCTCCCAAAGTGCTGGAATTACAGGCATGAGCCTCATTTACCTTTAAATGAAAATAGCCACATGTGGCTAGTGGCTGCACTATTGTTGGGTGCTGGTCTAGGACAGAGCATGAAGGTGTTTACTGTGATGTTCTTGCAATTGTTCTGTGGCTTTGAACATTTTCCAAAATAAAGCCATTTTGAAAAAGAGATTTGCGGTGGCTCATGTGTGAAACCCCAGCACTTAGGGAGGCTGAGGCGGGAGGATGACTTGAGTCTGGAAGTTTGAGACTGGCTTGGGAGACATAGTGAAAATCTGTTTCTAGGAAAAATTTAAAAATGAGGCCAGGACGGTGGCTTACGCCTGTAATCCCAGCACTTTAGTAGGCTGAGGTGGGCTGACCACTTGAGGTCAGGAGATCAACTCCAGCCTGGGCAACAGAGCGAGACTCTGTCTCCAAAAAAACAAAAACAAAAAACAACAAAAAAACCAAGCCAGGCACAGTGGCTCACGCCTGTAATCCCAGCACTTTGGGAGGCTGAGGTCGGGGGATCATCTGAGGTCAGGAGTTTGAGATCAGCCTGGCCAACATGGTGAAACCCCATCTCTACTAAAAATACAAAAATTAGCTGGGCGTGGTGGCAGATGCCTGTAGTCCCAGCTACTCAGAAGGCTGAGGCAGAAGAATCACTTTAATCCAGGAGGCAGAGGTTGTAGTGAGCCAAGATTATGCCATTGCACCCAAGCCTGGGTGACAAGAGCAAAACTCCATCTCAAAAAAAGAAAGAAAAATGTATCCATTTTAAAGCTTAAAAGGGAGCACAGTGAAAAAAGACACAGAATCGTCATTATTGGTAGGTTTATTAAATTTGTTTACCTTCTAAAAAAATGATTACAAAAAAGAATACTTCATGTAAGTGTAATACTGGCTTTATGGACGTACCGTGATCAGAAAGTGAAATTAAAGCTCACAGAGATGCGTGAGAAGAGAATGGGCACACGGCAGGATCCCTGTAGCCCACGGAGAGAAGGAAGTGCAGAGACGCATGGACCCATCTCAGGGGTCACACATTTCTCGGCCCAGGAGTTGCTTCTAGGAGCTTAAAATAAATGTGCTGGCTGGCTCCAGGGCTGGATGCACAGGCATAGGACTCTTGTACCGCTTCTCAAAGCTGCCCCTTCCCCCTCAGACACCAGCAATGGTTCTCAATCAGCTTTGGTTTTGTTTTCTCTGCAATTTACATGCAAACACCATCCAACTGTCCGTCCATCCATCCATCCATCCATCCTCCATCCACCCAACCATCCATTCATTCTCCATCCATCCATTCATCCTCCATCCATCCATTCATCCATCCATCCATCCATCATCCATCCATCATCCATTCATCCATCCATCCATCCATCCATCCATCCATCATCCATCCATCCATTCATCCATCCATCATCCATCCATCCATCCATCATCCATTCATCCATCCATCATCCATCCATCCATCCATTCATTCTCCATCCATCCATCCATTCTCCATCCATCCATCCATCATCCATCCATCATCCACTCATCCATCCATCATCCATTCATCATCCATCCATCCATCCATCCTCCATCCATCCACTCATCCTCCATCCATCCATCATCCATCCATCCATCCTCCATCCATCCATCCATCCTCCATCCATCCATCCATTCATTCTCCATCCATCCATTCATCCTCCATCCATCCATCCATCCATCATCCACTCATCCATCCATCATCCATTCATCATCCATCCATCCATCCATCCTCCATCCATCCACTCATCCTCCATCCATCCATCATCCATCCATCCATCCTCCATCCATCCATCCATCCTCCATCCATCCATCCATTCATTCTCCATCCATCCATTCATCCTCCATCCATCCATCCATTCTCCATCCATCCATTCATCCTCCATCCATCCATCCATTCATTCTCCATCCATCCATCCATCCATCCATCTATTCATCCTCCATCCATCCATCCATCCATCATCCATCCATCCATCCATTCATCCTCCGTCCATCCATCCATCCATCCTCCATCCATCCTGCCATCTGCTTGTCTCTTTTGACCAGCCAAGCCCTGTTTTGTTTTATGTACATTCCCTTCACTAAAAATCAAAGCAAGCCAATCTACATTGAGCCAAGAAACCTACTTTTCTAAGGAGAGAAACCAGTGCTTTGCTTTTTTTCATGAACCCGCGAGCTCTCTGCACTCTCTTGCTGAAATTTGGCTTTAAAGCCGTGGAGGCTGAGCTCACTGGCCTCCAAAGGGCAGCACACATATTTGGTTTGGAGCACACTCCTGATCACAAGGCACATTTTTAGAGGCTTGGAACCCTTCCCTTTCTCTTGCTCACCAAGGAAAAGGCACAAGAAAGAAAATGATGTGGAGATTCTTAAGGGACAGAGCAGGCCATGAAGGAAACTGTGAGTGTCTCTGGCAAGCCCCGTTTCCCGCAGGCTCTGGTCCAGGCAGCTCCGGAAAGTCTCTGGGTTGTTAAAAAACCCAGCTGGCCCATGTTTGGTTTGCAGCAAAGCCCTGTCTCTTTAAGTTTGCGCCGAGAGGCCTGGGGACAGCCAACTTTTAATCGTGCACACATGGGGTTTTTGGGAGCTGGCCCTGTGCTTTGCCAACAAGCGCATGCCCTGTTGTCTTTCCTTTGAGGAGAGAAATTCTGGAGCCCCGGGGAGGAACAGGATGGCCCTGTGACCAGTCTGGGGCCTGGCAGGGTGGGGGGATGCAGAAGCCAACCTGAGAGCCAGATCCCTTTCCTGCATCTCCAGGTCTGAAGGATTTTCTAGGAAAATTAACCTTTGCCAAGGCTTCCATGTGGGGAAGGGATGGGTTTCTGAGTAATTTCTCTCTTGCTCTTTTTTTTTTTTCCTTGAGACAGGATCTCGCCATGTGGCCCAGGCTGAAATGCAGTGATGTGATCATAGCTCCCTGCAGCCTTGACCTCAGGGCTCAGCCTCCCAAGTAGCTGGGATTACAGGCGTGCACCACCACACCCAGCTAACTTGTACATTTCTTGTAGAAATGGGTCTTTCTGTGTTGCTCAGGCTGGTCTTGAACTTCTGGGCTCAAGCTCAAGCTCCTGCCTTGGCTTTCCAAAGTGCTGGGATTACAGACGTGAGCCACTATGGCTGGCCCGTAATTTCTCATTGTGAATTGGTTCCCTATAAGTCACAGAGCCTGTCCTGAGTCCCTCCATTTGAATGAGGATAAAAAGACAGAGGTGACAGGGACAAAATCTGTCTTCTGAAGCCATCAGAAGAAAATTCCCCTAACAAAGCCGTCTGGGAGGCAGTGGACCTAACAATACATCAGACAATTAAATGTGTGGGATGAAGGGTGAGCCCCAGCCGGAGTGAAAGAACACTTAGCATTAAAATGAAAAGAGGCAAGTTCCAGTGACTTTCAAATCTGGCAACAAATCATAAGACTCCCGCCCCCCGCTTCTGCAACAGGATTCAAAAATACAATATTTTTTTCTGTTCCCTCTTCCTCCATCCATAATTACCAGCTGATTGTTCTCAATGTTCTTCATAAAACCCACACCCCAGCATCGGCACTGGCGCCAATGTATACAAGAATTTCGCTTCGGTCTGCGCTGCGGCTGCTTTGAACCGGGGAGCCAAGAAAACCCGCTTGGAGCTGGAGTCCTGTGGCTGTCGGGCTCCCCCAGGGAAGCAGAGGGAAAATGTGCTTGCCTTTGAGCCGTGGGCCCTGGGGAGCGGGAGTGGGGTGGGTCAGGGATGAACGGGAACAAGGAGGAGACGGGGACAAGGGATGGTTGGCCCCAGGGGAGGTCAGCGTGTGGCCTCCCTCACGGCTACTCTTCTGCCGAGGACGATGCAGGGCTCTCGTCATCCGACATCGGGGCAAACTGAAAGGAGAAGCAGCATTCTTTTCGTTTGGGATCCTTGCCAATTCCCCGAGGCGCCGATGTGGTGGCTGGCCTGGTAGATGTGGTGGGTGAGTGGGAGGGAGGCATGGCCCCTGGCCCCAAGGAGGCGGCGATCTGGGGGCACCATTTTGAAGAAGCAAACTCGTGACTGGGGCCAAGGAGCTTCATGGGGGTGAGGGATGGAAGGGAATGAGAGTGGACAGTGGCTGGTCAGGGAGGGGGAAGTCTCAGCTGGCTGTGAATGGCATCAAGGGGCCAGCCAGCTGGGAAGGGAATTCCAGGCAGTGGAAACAGCACGTGCAAAGGCCCTGGGGTAAGTGCAGAGGGGGCGTGGCAATAAGGCCAGTGTGGGTGGAGCGGGAGAGAAGCAGGAATGGGGAAGGTGAGGGTGGCTGTATAGGGCTTGGTGGGTTTTGCAGAGGACTTTGGCTTTTTTTTTCCTTTCCCTTTTTTTTTTTTTAGGTAGACTTTCACTCTTGTTGCCCAGGCTGGAGTACAATGGTGCAATCTCGGCTCACTGCAACCTCCACCTCCTAGGTTCAAGTGATTCTCCTGCCTCAGCCTCCTGAGTAGCTGGGATTACAGGCGCCTGTCATATGCCTGGCTAATATTTTTAGTAGAGACAGGGTTTTGCTATGTTGGCTAGGCTGGTCTCAAACTCCTGACCTCAGGTGATCCGCCTGGCTGGACTCCCAAAGTGCTGGGATTACAGGCATGAGCCACTATGCCCGGCCTTTTTTTTTTTTTAAGACAGGGTCTTGCTCTGTTGCCAGGCTGGAGTGTAGTGGTCCAATCATAGCTCACTGCAGCCTCCACCACCTGGGCTCAGGTGATCCTCCTGCCCTAGCCTCCCGAGTAGCTTGGATTACATGTGCCCACCATCATGCCCAAATAATTTTTTTTTTTTTTGAGACGGAGTTTCGCTGTTGTTACCCAGGCTGGAGTGCAATGGCACGATCTCAGCTCACCGCAACTTCCGCCTCCTGGGTTCAGGCAATTCTCCTGCCTCAGCCTCCCGAGTAGCTCGGACTACAGGCATCTACCACCATGCCCAGCTAATTTTTGTATTTTTAGTAGAGACGGGGTTTCACCTTGTTGACCAGGATGGTCTCGATCTCTTGACCTCGTGATCCACCCGCCTCAGCCTCCCAAAGTGCTGGGATTATAGGCATGAGCCACTGCACCTGGCCTAATTTTTGTATTTTTTAATAGAGATAGGGTTTTACCATTTGGCCAGGCTGGCCTTGAACTCCCGGCCTCAGGTGATCCACCTGCCTCGGCCGCCCAAAGTACTGGGATTACAGGCGTGAGTCACTACATCTGGCCTGAATGCTCCTTAAACACATCAGGCACATTCCTGCCTCAGGGCCTTTGCACTGCCTGCTCCTGCTGCCTGGAAGACCACGTGATTCACTCCTTGACTTCTCCAGGTGTTGACTCAAATGTCATCTCTTCTCTGAGGGCCTCCAACAGCCTCCCCACCACTCGCCATCCCACCTCCCTTGTTTTTTTTGAGACAGAGTCTCTCTGTGTCACCCAGGCTGGAGTGCAGTGGCATGATCTTTTGCTTACTGTAACCTCTGCCTCCAGGGATCAAGCTATTCTCCTGCCTCAGCCTCCCGAGTAGCTGGGACTACAGGTGCACAGCCCCCCAGAGTGTTGGGATGACAGGAGTGAGCCACCACGCCCGGCCTGACTGTGTCTCTTACCAGAATGCCCCCTCCATGTGGGTGGATACTGTTTTCTGTTTTGATCAGTGCTATGACCCCTGGGGACTGCCTAGAACTGGGTCTAACACATAGCCGGTGCTCAATAAATAGTTTTCAAATGAGTGAATGGTGACTAAGACGTGCATTTGGAACCAGACAGACCCAGGCGCGAAAACTTATGCCACCTATGACCGTGCAGCTTCTCTGTGATTAATTTCCTCACTGGGGCACCATGAGGGCTCAGCAAACAGCTGACCATGAAGCCCTCAGCATGAACCCCATGCACAATCAGCTCTTCATAAGCCTCTGTCCCCTCTGGCCAGGGACAGTGGCTGACCCCTGTAATCCCAGCGCTTTCAGAGGCCGAGGAGGAAGCATGGCTTGAGCCCAGGAGTTCAAGCCCAGCCTGGGCAACATAGTGAGACGTCCATCTCTACAAAAGAGAGAAAAAAATGGCCAGGAGCGGTGGCTCATGCCTGTAATCCCAGCACTTTGGGAGGTAGAGGTGGGCAGATCACTTGAGCTCAGGAGTTCAAGACCAGCCTGGCTAACTTCAGCCTGGTGAAACCCTATCTTTACTAAAAATACAAAAATTAGCCGGGCATGGTGGTGTGCAGCTATAATCCCAGCTATTCTGGAGGATGAGGCAGGAGAATCGCTTGAACCTGTGGAAACTGCACCACTGCACCCAGCCTAGGTGATAGAGTGAGACTCTGTCTGAAAACAAAACAAAGCAGAATTCAGCCAGGTATGGTGGCACGCACCTGTGGTCCCAGCTACTCAGGAGGCCGATGTGGGAGGATCACTTGAGCCCAGGAAGTGGAGGCTGCAGTGAACTATAATTGTGCCGCCGCATTCCAGCCTTGATGACGGAGTAAGACCCTGTCTCGCTGGGCGCAGTGGCTCACACCTGTAGTCCCAGCACTTTGGGAGGCTGAAGTGGGGGGATCACCTGAGGTTGGGAGTTTGAGACCAGCCTGATGGATAAACCCCGCCTCTACTAAAAGTACAAAATTAGCCAAGTGTGGTGGCGCCTGCCTGTAATCCCAGCTACTCGGGAGGCTGAGGCAGGAGAATCATTTGAACCAGGGAGGCGGAGATTGCAGTGAGCAGAGATCATGCCATTGCACTCCAGCCTGGGCAAGAAGAGCAAAACTCCGTCTCAAAAAAAAAAAAAGACCCTGTCTCAAAACAAAAACAAATCTGTCTCCTCTCAGAGCCCTGCCCGCCGCGCGGCCGCCCTGCCGGGTTGAGACTCACCGAGCACTTGATGTTCATGCGGGAATACAGCATGGACGCAATCTCACTCTGACCTGCGTCCAAGGCCACCATCAGAGCTGTGCTCCCGTCCTGCAAAGTATCCGTGCTGTGAATGATGTCCCCACACTGTCCTGCCACCCTCCCAGGGGTGCACCTGGTTGGAGACTCACCCGATCCGTGAGTGAGATGTCACAGCTGGGCACGGCCAGCAGCAGCCCCGTGATCTCCTTGTGGCCGTGCTCACAGGCACACATGAGGGCCGTGGAGCCATCATCGTCTTGCACGTTGACGTCCGCCTCGCAGGCCAGCAGGGCTCTGACCACGTCCACCCGCCCGTGGCTGACTGCCAGCATCAGGGCTGTCTGTCCGGCCTGGGGAGGGCAAGGAACAGGATTATGGCTCATGCAGGCCCCAGGGCAGGACACCCTTGCTTTAGAACCGGTTGTAGCTCCCACATACTCTGATGGTGAAATGTACCCTCAACTTGCTGGTCTCCTTCTGAATCTCAAACAACCCTTCTCACCAGTGGGGGAGTAATAAATCCATAGAGACAGAAAGCAGAAGAGTAGTTGTGAGGGGCTAGGAGAAGCAGGGACAGGGGGAGAAATAATGAATGACTACTAACGGATACAGGTTTCCTTTGGGGGTGATGAGAATGTTCTGGAATTAGAGGTGCTGGTTGCACAACAGGGTGAATGTATTTTATGCCAGCAGTGTTTTTGGTATTGTTTTGTTTTACAGACAGGGTCTTGCTGTGTTGCCCGGGTTGCAGTGCAGTGGCACGATCGCAGCTCACGGCAGCCTCGACTTCCCCAGGCTCAGGTGATCTTCCCACCTCAGCCTGAGTAGCTGGGATTATAGGCATGAGCCACAGTGCCTGGCTTATTTTTGTGTTTTTTATATAGATAGGGTTTTCCATGTTGCCCAGGCAAACTGTTCACTTTGAAAGGGTTAGTTTTGGGCGCTGTGGCTCAGGCCAGTAATCCTAGCACTTTGGGAGGCCGAGGTGGGGGGACTGCTTGAGCACAGAAGGTCAAGGCCACAGTGAGCTGTGACGATGCCACTGCACTCTAGCCTGGGTGACAAAGTGAGACCCTGTCTCAAAAAAAAGTTAGAAATAAAGGGGTTAATCTTAGGTTTTGTGAATTTCACCTTCTTTCTTTTTTAATAGAGGGTTGGGGGGGGGGGTCTCCCTATCCTGCCCAGGCTGGTCTCAAACTCCTGACCTCAAGCAATTCTCCTGTCTTGTTCTCCCAAAGTGCTGGGATTACAGGCATTAGCCACCTTGCCAAGCCTCACCTTTTTTTTTTTTTGAGACAGAATCTCACTCTGTTGCCCAGGCTGGGGTGTAGTGGTGTGATCTCAGCTCACTGCAACCTCTACCTCCCAGGTTCAAGTGATTTTCCTGCCGCCTCCTGAGTAGCTGGGATTACAGGCAGGTGCCACCATGCCCAGCTAATTTTTTAATTTTTTAGTAAAGACAGGGTTTCACCATGTTAGCCAGGCTGGTCTTGAACTCCTGACCTCAAGTGATCTGCCCAACTCAGCCTCCCACAGTGCTGTGATTACAGGCATGAGCCACAGTGCCTGGCCTTCATTTTTTGAAAATTAAGCCACTAAAAAAAATTTCTTGGAAATCAAAGCAAAATTAAATCAATAAAGATAAAGCAGGTCGTGCCTGTTACGGCTCATCACCGCTCCCTGTTTTGTTCCCTTGCTGTCTTCAGGCTGTTGCCAATCCTCCTCCTCCTCCTCACTGTCCCCACCTGGTCCCCGCTTCCCTGCTCTTTTTCTAATTTTCTTTATGTTTGAGACGGAGTTTCGCTCTTGTTGCCCGGGCTGGAGTGCCGTGGCAGGATCTCAGCTCACCGCAACCTCTACCTCCCAGGTTCAAGCAATTCTCCTGCCTCAGCCTCCTGAGTAGCTGGGATTACAGGCATGCGCCACCACGCCTGGCTAAGTTTGTATTTTTAGTAGAGACGGGGTTTCTCCTTGTTGGTCAAGCTGGTCTCGAACTCCCAACCTCAGGTGATCCGCCCGCCTTGTCCTCCCAAAGTGCTGAAATTACAGGTGTGAGCTACGGCACCTGGCCTTCCTTGCTCTTTTGCCCAGACACCTGTCCATAGGCCCCAGTCACCTCCACAGTCATCTGTTTCTGCTTTCCAACACACAGCCGAAGGGAGCTCTCAAACCAGGGATCAGCGCATGCCACTTCCCTGCTTAAACTCCCCTGGTGGCTTCCTGTAGCCCTTGAGTCCATACTGGCTTCAGTCCTGGTGCTCCCTGAAATGCGTAGGTCTCAAAGCACTAGCTAGTTAGTGAGCTTGAGACCATGCCTGCTTATTCGCCATTTGAGTCCCCAGTGTCCAGCCCGGGGAACCCAGCTGCTGTTCAATGAACTGTCCAGCAGGATGTAGGACAGGGTCATATTAAGAAAGGTAAGGACCCAAATATCCTCCACTCCTTCCAGTTTCCACAAGAAGGGCCTGTGTCAGAGGCAGCCTGGCCATGAAGAGCAGGGCTCTGGAGCTAGACCACCTGGGTTTGGGCCTGGCACCCAGCTGGGATGCCATAAAGCAGGAAGAGCCGCCTGGGTCTGCAGCCGCTGAGGGACCCTACCTGGCTGGCTTTGGCATTGACGTCGCCAAGCCGGAAGAGCTGAAGGACAGTTTCGATGTCATCCTGGGTCTTCAGGGTGGCCAGGGCAGTGAGCATAATTGGGCTGTAGCCAGCACGGTTCTGTTTATCCACCTTGCAGACACCTAGAGGGGTGGTATGAACCCTCAGACCAGGCATCTCTGCTGGTGGACCACCCCAAGGAACGTGGGTATCACATCTCCATCAGTCTAGCATGCCCCATCCCTCCCTTTCCTCAGACAGAGGACCCTATTCTGCCCAGAGGCCTCCATCTCCACTGGGTCACCCCACTAGACCAGGGGCTCCTAAAGTTGGAGACGATCCCTCTTCCATCAGATTTGGGGCTCCTGATGCTGGGCATCTGTATTTAGGGCTGAGAACAGAAACTGGGTCTCCCCCATTAATTTGGAACAGCCATTTACCCTCAGACTGGCCCATGTCTCCCCCATCAGACTGTGGGCCCTGCGTCCTTCATCAGCCTGGGAGGCCGTCTCCCCAACAGAAGGGCAAGTTTCTTCCTGCCTAACTGAGGACCACGTCTTCCTTCCAAGCCCCAGACTTGAGGCTGCATCCTTCTCTTAGAAGGGCTCCAGGGATGTCACCTCCATCCTGCAGGTGTGTCTGGGGATGCTGGAGGGCCACGTGTTTTCCCTAAGATCACTTCTTCCTTTTCCATTACACTGGCTAAAGGTAGGACCTGTGCCTCCTCCACCAGACTGGGAAGGGCAGTGTCTCCTCCACTAGACTGGGAGGACAGCATCTCTCCTATAAGACCAGGAGGGTGGAGTCTCTGCTATCAGACTAGGAAGAGTCATGTCTCCCTTGTTAGACTGGGAAGGTGATGTCTCACTCATTAGACTGGGAGGGCGGTGTCTCCACCATTAGACTGGGAAGACAGCATCTCCTCTATCAGACTGGGAGGGCCACCTCCCCCCGACAATGAACTGGGAAGATGATGTCTCCTTCATTAGGCTTGGCAGGTGTGTCTCCTCCATCAGCCTGGGAGGGTGGTGTCCCCTCTATCAGACTCTCAAGATGGCATCTCCCATATCAAACTGGGAGTCACATCTCCCCCATCAAACTGGGAAGGCAGCATCTCCTCCGTCAGACTGGGAGGGCCATCATATACCCCCTCATGGATCTGGGAAGATGGTGTCTCCTCTATCAGACTGGAAAACAGGTGTCCCTCCACATCCTATTGGAAGGTGGTATCTCCCATGTCAGACTGGGAGAGGTGTTCCCTCTATTATACTGAGAAGGCCACACCTCCCCCATCATCTTCCTCCTCCATCAGACAGGGAGGGCAGTGGCTTCCCTATCAGGCTGGGGATGGCGGACAGCAGCTGGTTTGGAGCCTTGTCCTCCCCGCAGGGCTCACCGCTGTCCAGCAGCTGCTGCACCACCGGGAAGTTGGCGTGGGACACGGAGTAGTGCAGCGCCGTGTTGCCATTGCTGTCAGCGATGTTGACCACGTAGTCCAGCAGCCGCCCAGACATGGCCCGGAACGTGACCAGGTGCCGCCGCACAAGCTCGGGGTGTGCGTCACTGCGGCAGGCCAGGCGCAGCCACTCCTGCAGCACCGTGGTGTAGGCCACTTTCTGCATGCGAGTTGGGGGGAAGGGTGTGAGGGCGGGGAGGCCCACTGGGATATCCCCACAACCCCAACAGGCCCCCTGGAGCAAAGTGTGGTGCCCTTGTCCTGGAAAAGGCTCTCAAGGGAAGTGCAGACACTCCCAGAGGGAAGTGTAGACATCCCTGTCCCAATAAGACCCTCAGAGTGGGGTGCGGACTCTGCAATCCCCAACATGTTCCCCCGAGGAAGGTGTGGGCACCTCCTCCCTGGATATAATTTCTCTCTCTCTCTTTTTTGAGATGGATTCTCACTCCGTTGCCAGGCTGGAATGCAGTGGCGCGATCTCAGCTCACTGCAACCTCTGATTTCACGCGATTCTCCTGCCTCAGCCTCTCGAGTAGCTGGGATTACAGGTTTCCACCACCACACCCAGCTAATTTTTTTGTATTTTTAATAGAGATGGAGTTTCACCATGTTGGCCAGGATGGTCTTGATCTCCTGACCTAGTAATCTACCCACCTCAGCCTCCTAAAGTGCTGAGATTACAAGCACGAGCCACCATGCCTGGCTTTTTTTTTTTTAATTTTTGAGATAGAATTTTGCTCTTGTTGCCAGGGCTGGAGTACAGTGGCATGATCTCAGCTCACTGCAACCTCCACCTTGGGTTCAAGCAATTCTCCTGCCTCAGTTTACCGCGTAGCTGGACTTCACCCACCTGCCACCACGCCCGGCTAATTTTTGTATGTTCAGTAGAGATAGAATTTTGTCATGTTTTGGCTAGGCTAGTCTTGAACTCTTGACCTCAGGTGATCCACCAGCCTCAGTCTCCCAAAGTGCTGGGATTATAGGCATAAGCCACTGTGCCTGCTACCCCCCCCTTTTTTTTTTAATGGTGGGGTCTGCTCTGTTGCCCAGGCTGGAGTACAGTGACATGATCAGGGCTCATGGCAGCCTCACCCTCCTAGGCTCCAGCCATCTTCCCATCTCCACCTCCCAAGTAGCTGGGACTACAGGCAAGCACCACTATGCCTGGCTAATTTTTAAAAAAATTTGTAGAGGTTGGATGCAGTGGTTCACGCCTGTAATCCCAGCACTTTGGGAGGCTGCAGTGGGTAGATCACTTGAGGTCACGAGTTGGAGACCAGCCTGGGCAACATGGTAAAACCCCATCTCTACTCAAAATATAAAAAATTAGCCAGGCGTGCTAGTAGTCCCAGCTACTTGGGAGGCTGAGGCAGGAGACTTGCATGAACCTGGGAGGCAGAGGTTGCAGTGAGCTGAGATCGCACCACTGCACTCCAGACTGGGCGACAGAGTGAGACTCCATCTCAAAAAACAAAAAAAATTTGTTTGTTGGCCGGGCGCAGTGGCTCACGCCTATAATCCCAGTACTTTGGGAGGCCGAGGTGGGTGGATCACGAGGTCAAGAGATTGAGACCATCCTGGTTAACAAGGTGAAACCCCGTCTCTACTAAAAATACAATATGGTGTGTGCCTGTAGTCCCAGCTACTCAGGAGGCTGAGGCAGGAGAATTGCTTGAACCCAGGAGGCGGAGGTGGCGATGAGCCGAGATCGTGCCATTGCACTCCAGTCTGGGTAACAACAGCGAAACTCCATCTCAAAAAAAAAAAAAAAGATTTTGTTTGTAGAGATGGGGTCTCACTATGTTGCCCAGGCTGGTCTTGAACTCCTGACCTCAAGCAATCTTCCTGCCTTGACCTCCCAAAGCACTGGGATTGACAGGGACTGCGCCTGGCCCTGGTTATAATCTCCAGAGTCAAGTGTAGATTCCCAAAAAGGGAAATCTGGATGTCCCTCTCTGGAAGCTCCCAGTAAGAACAGGAACCCCGGGCCAGGTTCGGCCAGTGACGGTCATCCTCCAGCCTCTCCCTATCTCTCTGGCCTCTCTCCGAGGCCCATGACTCCAGCACCACCCGCCTCCAAGCTTTGGGCTTGGGTCTTAGAGTCCCCACTAGGCAGGAGCAGGAAGTCACTGAGGATGAGGAGAGGCCACGGGTGTGGTGGGAGTAGGGGTCCAGGGTGGGCCCAGGGCCAGACCGTACCAGCTCCCGCTCTGTGAGGGCGTTGGGATTGTCCAGGTACTTTTCCAGGGCCAAGCAGGCTGAGATGAGGTCGGGGCTTAGCTCCATCCTGCCAGGAATAGACAAGCGGGGGACTAAGTAACCCCCAGCCCCCTGCGTTCTCCCTCCAAATCCTCATATCCCACTCTGGTGCCTGGGAAGGGACTTGACATTCTGCACCATGTCACCCACCCTAGGGTCACCTGAATGGTGGCATCTCAGACCCTCCTTCACCCGGGACACACATTTACATTGCACCCCAAAAGGCAGATGTGGGGAACACACAGACCCCCAAGGGAGAATGGGCACACAAGCCAAAGTTTATTCTAAATGCCCACTGGCAAATGGAAAATATTTCCCAAGGGCAAATTTTTTCACCAGGGAAATAAAAAAGAGACATAAACAGGACAGGCGAGTAGAGGGAACATCCCAAAGTAGGTGGGTAACTTCAGGATAAACGTGGGCTGGCCCCCTAAATCCTAACCCCGGCAGCCCAAAATACTTCCACCAGGGCCTTTAGCAAAGCCTCCAGAACTTCACATGCCCAGAAGGAGCAACTGATTGTTCACTAATTCAGACTAAAGTGAGCATGACTGATAGGAGGGTCCTTCAAAGGGCTTGAATGGTGGGGTTCAAGGTAGAGGTCATCCACCCCTGGCCCTGCGTAAATCCCTCCCACCCACAAAACTGACCTGATCTCCTCCTCCATATTTGATCCTGACGCCCCCCCTACTGGAGGTATGTGCTGAGATTCTCGAGACAGTTGGCACTCCTGCCGGCTGGTCTTGGCCACTGCCGTCCCTGCAGGCCTGAGCTGGGAGGCTTCGGCCACACTCGGAACCCTCTCCCCCGGCTCTGGGGCCTCGTTCTCTGAGCTGTCATTGTCTGAGATGTTCTCTGTGGTGCTGGAGTCCTCGGATGACGACTCATACCTGGGGAGGAACAAGCAGGGCGGGGAGACGCTGCAGACGGGATGAGAAATGGCAGGAAGGGAGGGCAAGGATCTGGCTACCTGACCTCTGTGGGCATCAGCTTCCCCTTCTGTTCAATGGCAGTATTGGTATTTCAGGGCTGCCAGGACGTGGTCTACAGCAAGCGCTCAGGGAACGCTAGCAGTGGTTGTGAGCATGCTCGGGGTGAGGGGCACTTTTCACTTGCGGCTCTTTGACATTTCTAGAATACCACCCCCTGCTTTTTGTTTTTTTGAGATCGAGTCTCACTCTGTTGCCCAGGCTGGAGTCCAGTGGCGCGATCTCAGCTCACTGCAACCTCCATCTCCCGGGTTCAAGCAATTCTCCTGCTTCAGCCTCCTGGGTAGCTGGGATTATAGGCGCCCACCACCATGCACAGCTGTTTTTATTTTTAATAGAGACAAGCTTTCATTATTTGGTCAGGCTGATCTCAAACTCCTGGCCTCAAGTGATCGACTCACCTCAGCCTCCCAGAGTGCTGAGATTACAGGCATGAGCCACGACGCCCGGCCACCCACCCCCGTCTTAAGATCGGGTCTGACTCTGTTGCCCAGGCTATTGCCCAGTGGTGCAATCTCAGCTCACTGCAACCTTTGCCTCCTGGGTTCAAGCAATTCTCCTGCTTCAGCCTCCAGAGGAGCTGGGACTACCGCTTAAACCACTGTGCTTGGCTAATTTTTGTATTTTTTAGTAGAGACGGTGTTTTGCCATGTTGGCCAGACTGGTCTCGAACTCCTGAGCTCAGGTGATCCACCTGTCTTAGCCTCCCTGAGTGCTGGGATTACAGGTGTGAGCCATTGCATACGACCTCTAGCCTTTTTTTTTTTTTTTTTTTTGAGATGGAGTCTTGCTCTGTTGCCCAGGCTGGAGTGCAATGGTGAGATCTATGTTCACTGCAACCTCTGCCTCCTGGGTTAAGCGATTCTCCTGCCTCCACCTCCCAAGTAGCTGGAACTGTGCCCACCACACCCAGCTATTTTTTTTGTATTTTTAGTGAAGATGGGGTTTCATGATGTTGGCCAGGCTGGTCTTGAACTCCTGAGCTCAAATGAATCGTCTGCCTAGGCCTCCCAAACTGCTGGGATTACAGACGTGAGGCATCGCGCCTGGTCCCTCTAGCCCTTTTAACACAGGTGATTCACACTCTCATCCCACTGAAAACAGGGCTCTCTCCTGTTTCTTGCTGCCTCTGGACAAAACTTAATCAAGCTTCTAGGCTCGGCATTCAAGGCCCCAAACCAACTATCACTTCCTGCACCTCCTGCTTCTCATGTCTGCTTTCCCGCCTCTGAGCCTTTATCCACACTGTGCCTTGCCAGGAGAGCCCTCCCCATGCCCTCTCTTTACCTTGCTGGCTTCTACTTCTCCTGCAGCACCTGCGTCTCCTCCTTCTGGAACCCCCCTAGGGCCACCTGTCACCTGTGTCTTTCATTCTTTTTTTTTTTTGAGATGGAGTTTCACTGTTGTTATCCAGGCTGGAGTGCCATGGCGCGATCTTGGCTCACAGCAACCTCCGCCTCCTGGGTTCAGGCAATTCTCCTGCCTCAGCCTCCTGAGTAGCTGGGATTACAGGCACGCGCCACCATGCCCAGCTAATTTTTTGTATTTTTAGTAGAGATGGGGTTTCACCATGTTGACCAGGATGGTCTCAATCTCTTGACCTCGTGATCCACCCGCCTCGGCCTCCCAAAGTGCTGGGATTATAGGCGTGAGCCACCGTGCCCGGCGACCTGTGTCTTTCTTGAGGCCCCTGTACCACCTTAGTGTCCCCCTCACAGCTCCAACCACAAGCTGATAAGTGGCTCCAACTCCCCATCAGCGCCCAGCTCCCCACTGGACCAGGAGCTCTGTCAGGGCAGGAAGCGGAGTCCGGCACCTTCCGTGGGATAGTGCAGTGCAGTAGTTACACCCTGAGCAGTTGAGCCAGGCCACCCCAGGCCGACCCCTGGGATACCAAGGGAGCTCCAGCAACGCGCTCAGCCTCCTCATGCCTCAGTTTTCTCATCTCTCCATTGTGGTTTGATTAAACGAATTAACCAAAGTAAGGGGCTCGGAACGAGGAAATTAGGAGGCTCTTGTGTGTGGATGAATGGAAGAAGGGGTGGGAAGTGTGGAGTGGGGGGGAATCTTCTCCTCTCACCCGCCATTGATCCCCATGAACTGGAGGCTCCTCTGGTGGGTCGTGTGGTCTGCAATCTCCTCTTTCTGTTTCATGATAGATTGCACGCCTGCCAGAGGCCCGCCTGGAGGGGAGGACAGAAGTGGTGTTGTGAGAACCCTTCAAGGTCACACTCCAAGTTGAAGTCATTCAGGTGCCCCGTCCCTCTTGGTGGCCACCCACCACTTACCGGCGCCCCTGACCTCCTCAGACTCTCGGGAGGCTGCTTGCCTGGTGGGCTCCCTGTGGGCGGTGTCCTGGTTGGGCACCCAGCCTGGGGTCTTCTCAGGCTCTGTCAGGGAGGCTACCTCGGACCCTGGGGGTGATGAGGATGATTCAACAGGAACTTGTGGGAGGTCTGGAGGGACAGGAAATGAGGTGTCTGCTAAAAGCCAAACAACCACACTGTGGGTCACACACCCCAGGCTGGGTGCTGTCCAAGGGCTGATTTTCGTGTTACCACATCTAGTCTTCCTGGACCTCAGAGGGAAGTTGGATTATTATGAATGAGGAAACTGAGGCACAGAGCTGCCAAGGTCACCCCTTGAGCAGGTGGCAGAATGCACTTCCAACCTCAGTTTGGTGCCTGCCCAACAGCTAGTCAGGGACAGGGACAACCCTGTGGATATTCCTGGCTTCAGCCTGAGTGAGCTCTAAACGTAAGCTCTGGCTGGGAGTGGTGGCTCATGCCTGTCATCGCAGCAATTTGGGAGGCCAAGGCGGGTGGATCAGTAGTTTCAGACCAGCCTGGCCAACATGGTGAAACCCTGTCTCTACTAAAAACACAAAAATTAGCCGGGTGTGGTGGTGAACACCTATAGTCCCAGCTATGTGGGAGGCTGAGGCAGGAGAATTACTTCAACCCAGGAGGTGGAGGCTGCAGTGAGCAGAGACCATGCCAAATTCAGCCTGGCAACAGAGCAAGACCCTGCCTCTTTAAAAAAAAAATCAGATGGGCTGGGAGTGGTGGCTCACGCTTGTTTAAGACCAGCCTGGCCAATATGGTAAAACCCTGTTTAAAAAACAAAAAAAAAGAAAAAAAAAAGAAATCCTGGGGAAGCCATAAAATGAGGTGGAGTAACGTGCTAAGTGAAGGAAGCCAGATGCAAAAGAGACAAAAACACTGCATGATTCCATTCACGCGAGGTCCCTAGAGTCGTCAAGATTTATTATTATTATTATTATTAGCTACAGACTCTCACTCCTTCGATCAGGCTGGAGTGCAGTGGTGCGATCTTGGCTCACTGCAACCTCTGCCTCCTGGGTTCAAGGGATCCTCCTGAATAGCTGGGATTTTAGGTGCCCACCATACAAAATAAATTTTGTATTTTTAGTAGAGACAGGGTTTTACCATGTTGGCCAGGCTGATCTCGAACTCCTGACCTCAGGTGATCTGCCTGCCTCAGCCTCCCAAAGTGCTGGGATTACAGGTGTGAGCCACTGCGCATGGCCCTAGAGTGGTCAGATTTAAACAGACAGAAAATAGAACAGTGGGTGCCAGGGACTGGGGAAGGGGAATGGGAAGTGAGTGTTTAATGGGGCCGGAGTTTCAGTTTGGAAAGATGAGTAAGTCCTAAAGATGGATGGGGGTGACAGTTGCGCGGCTCACACCTGTAATCCCAGGACTTTGGGAGGCTGAGGTGAAAGGATCACTTGAGCCCAGGAGTGTGAGACCAGCTTGGGCAACATAGAGAGATCCTGTTCTTAAAAAACATAAGAGAAACAAAACACAGCCGGGCGTGGTGGCTCACGCCTGTAATCCCAGCACTTTGGGAGGCCGAGGCGGGTGGATCACAAGGTCAAGAGATCGAGACCATCCTGGTCAGCATGGTGAAACCCCGTCTCTACTAAAAATACAAAAAATTAGCTGGGCATGGTGGTGCGTGCCTGTAATCCCAGCTACTCAGGAGACTGAGGCGGGAGAATCGCTTGAACCCAGGAGGCGGAGGTTGCGGTGAGCCGAGATCGCGCCATTGCACTCCAGCCTGGGTAACAAGAGCGAAACTCCGTCTCAAAAAAACAAGAAAAAAAAATGACTCAAATGTACTTAATGTCACTGAATGATATATTCAAAAATGGCTAGCAGGGTAAGTTGGTTTTTTTTTTTTTTTTTGAGATAAAGTCTTGCTCTACTGCCCAGGCTGGAGGGCAACGGCAGGACCTCGGCTCACCGCAACCTCAGCCTCCTGAGTTCAAGCGATTCTCCCGCCTCAGCCTGCAGAGTAGCTGGGATTACAGGTGTGTGCCACCACACCAGGCTAATTTTGTATTTTTAGTAGAGATGGGGTTTTGCCATGTTGGCCAGGCTGGTCTCGAACTCCTCACCTCTGGTGATCCACACGCCTCAGCCTCCCAAATTGTTGGGATTACAGGCGTGAGCCACCACGCCCGGCCTGATGGTAAATTTTATGTTGTATGTATGTTACCACAATAGTTTAAAAAGTGAAAAAATTTGAGAGGCTGAGGCAGGAGGATCACTTGAGACTAGGAGTTTAAGACCAGCCTAGGCAATATAGCAAGGCTCCATCTCTACAAAAAATTTAAAAATTTTTAAATTTTAAAAAATTTTTAGCCAGGTGTAGTGGAGTGTGCCTGCGGCTACTTGGGACTATACATGGCTGAGATGAGAGGATCACTTAAGCTCAAGAGTTGGAGGTTACACTGAACTATGGTAACACTGCTGTACTCCAGCCTGGGGGACTGAGTGGAACCCCTGTCTTAAAAAAAAAAATAAAAAGGGCCGGTGCGCTGGTTCACACCTGTAAGCCCAGCACTTTGGGAGGCAGAGGCAGGCGGATCACCTGAGCTGAGGGTTTGAGACCAGCCTGGTCAACATGGTGAAACCTTGGCTCTACTAAAAATACAAAAATTAGCTGGGTGTGGTGGCGTGTGCCTGCAATCCCAGCTACTAGGGAGGCTGAGGCAGAAGAATTGCTTGAACCCAGGAGGTAGAGGTTACAGTGAGCTGAGATCACACCACTGCACTCCAGCCTGGGTGAAAGACTGAGACTCGAACTCAAAAAAAAGAGAAAAGTGAAAAAAATAAAACCAAAGAAACGAGAGTAAAATTAAAGCCCATTCTGCCTCAAAAGAAATGCAGGAAGTGACTTCATTTCTTTTTCTTTTCTTTTTTTAAAAAGACGGGGTTTCACCATGATGGCCAGGCTGGTCTTGAACTGCTGACCTCAGGTGATCCACCCACCTTGGCCTCCCAAAGTGCTAGGATTACAGGTGTGAGCCACCGCGCCCAGCCAGGAAGTGACTTCAAAACCTGGGATGGCTCCTTCCAGTCTAAGGAGTTCAAGGTTAGACATAGAATGCTAGAGTAACAACAAGTAATAATAAAATTGATCATACTTAAATTATTGTTATCCCACTGGGGAATGGGGCCAGCTGACACCAAAATTTACACAAAAGAACTAAAGTCCAGTGATGAGCTAAGACAATTTTACAAAACAAGAGCAAGGGAACAGTCAGTCTGTGAGAGAGCAAAACGTATTTCAAAGCCACAACCATCAGAACAGGAGGGCATTTTTGCATTAACAAATGGACCAATGGGACGGAGAAGACAGCCCAGAACAGGCTCCAATCTTAGGGCACTGAGGGTAAGACAGAAGGGGTTTCTACAAGTCAGTGGGAAAGGGTGGATTCAGTGGTGTGGTTTTGGGAGAAGCAGCTTACTTTACTGAGAAAAGTCAAGCTGGATCTCTATCTCATACTATACACAAGAAAGAAATTGTGGGCCGGGTGTGATGGCTCACGGCTGTAATCCCAGCACTTTGGGAGGCCGAGGCGGGCAGATCACAAGGTTAGGAGATCAAGACCATCCTGGCCAACATGGTGAAACCCCATCTCGACTAAAAATATAAAAATTAGCTGGGCATGGTTGCTTGTATCTGTAATCCTAGCTACTCGGGAGGCGGAGGCAGGAGAATCGCTTGAACCTGGGAGTCAAAGTTTGCAGTGAGCCAAGATTGCACCACAGTATTCCAGCCTGACAACAGAGGGAGACTGCCTCAAAAAAAAAATTGTGAAAGATTAAGATGAAAGTACAACTACAAAGCTAAAGGGGTATAATGTAGCAGAGTATCAGGGACTCAGGAAGGGGGTTCATTCATTCATTCAGTCAGTCACAGGGTCTCACTCTGTTGTCCGGGCTGGAGTGCAGCTCCATGATCACAGCTCACTACAGCTTCTAACCCCTGGGCTCAAGCAATCCTCCCACTTCAGCCTCCCAAGTAGCTGGGATTACAGGCATGCAACATCATGCCTGGCTAACTTCTGTATTTTGTAGAGATGAGGGTCTTACTATGTTGCGTAGGCTGGCCCTGAACTCCGAGACTCAAGCAATTTTCCCACCAAAGTGCTGAGATTACAGGTATGAGTCAATATGCCTAGTTAAGATTCTTTTAAAAATTCCTCCAAGCATAATCCATAAATGCAGAACACAATAGTCTCGACTATACCCAAAATGAAGACTTCTGGCCGGGTGCGGTGGCTCGCGCCTGTAATCCCAGCACTTTGGGAGGCCAAGGTGGGCAGATCACATGAGGTAAGGAGTTCGAGACCAGCCTGGCCAACACAGTGAAACCCAGTCTCTACTGAAAATACAAAAATTAGCCGGGTGTGGTGGCGAATACCTGTAATGCCAGCTACTTGGGAGGGTGAGGCAGGAGAATCACAGGAACCTGGAAGGCGGAGGTTGCAGTGAGCTGAGATTGTGCCATTGCACTCCAGCCTGGATGACAGAGCAAGGCTCCATCTCAAAAACAAAAACAAAAACAAAGGCCTTTAAGATCCTCATGGGTGTGGAGGGTGGTGCCGAAGATTTGCACAGGCAAGGGATAATCTTCTAGAACGGGGTCAGGAAACTTTCCGGAAAGGGCTAGATAGCAGACATTCCTGGTCATGTCAAATGTAACTGCTCAACTCTGGCACAGTTCTAACGCAAAACTGGTCACAGACAGTATGTGAATGATTCCATGTGGCTGTATCCGGTAAGTCTGAATTTCACATAATCTTGTTCATGCCAAGACATTTTTTTTTGAGACAGGGTGAGACTCTGTCTCTATTTTTTTTTTAATGTGGAAAAAAATACCAATAAATAAACTAGAGCAGCACCCAAAGCCCATTCTGCCCCAACAGAGAAGCAGCACCCAAAGCCCATTCTGCCCCAACAGAGAAGCAGGCAGGACTTCCGGCAATTTTTTTTTTTTTTTTTGTGACGAAGTCTCAATCTTGTCACCCAGGCTAGAGTGCAACCTCTGCCTCCCGGGTTCAAGCGTTTCTCTGCCTCAGCCTCTGGAGTAGCTGGAACTACAGGGGCCCGCCACCACGCCTGGCTAATTTTTGTATTGT